TGAAATGTACTATTGTTTTTTTAATGTAAGGAAAATGTACAATCAACGTAACGCACTTATTATTCTTGCCTTGGTGCGTCCTTGCTGCAGTCTGTGGGATTGTTGTCTACAGTGTACACCCGAGGGTGTCTTACTGGCGGTTCAACCGTTGTGACCCCACCACTTCCATCGGATGTCAGATACCATTTGACACTTTGCAAGTGTAAATGTGCCCCACCGGCGCAGTGTACAGCGACAAAGTCGTTGATTCGAAGTGATGAATGTTGGCTGTCCTCAGACGGTCTGCCTTGTTTTCTGGCCTGATGCTCTGTTGCCTCTGGTAGGCTGGAAATCTGCAACTGACGTGCAATTTGCGGCGACGCACAGTGATACAGCACCGAGTCGAGGTCTTTCGTGCTCCATTTGGCCACGAACGCACGGTAACTTGCTGCTCTGTCCTTTGCTGCTTTCCATAATGTCCTCGTAGATTTTTGTTGGACAAAAGCGGTTAACCGCTCTTGGTCTGTCCCAGCTAAATGAACGAGGATAAATCCAAATGAAATAGCCAAGGCCATGCCCAGACCTCCTAAAATCGCGTATATATGCGGATCTGAGCTCAATTCGACGTTTTTAAACACAACATCAGCAAGCCCCTTGCATGTAAAGTGGATAACAAGTACTGCACATGCGTTAGTGAACCAGAAGCGGATAAAATTGTCTCGAACTACGTGATCCAGACGCATCGCCAGTGATTGAGACTGCAACGTCACACGGATGACCCAGTAACTACTGCTGAGTGTCGTTAGTACCAAATTCCAGTTACTAACGGGGATAGCAGGTACACAGTGAATCACTATACCAGCTCCTGTATTCGACAGATTGGCGGTACATTCTGGTCTGAAGATGTTGCTCAAAGATCCAATTGCGCCTAGATACATTAGTACCATCGTAAGTGGATGTTCTAGTGCTCCATCGGCTGGATCACACATCAATAGCTCCAGGATACCGAGTCGAACGACAGGAGATGGCTTGTAGTGCATACTTTCCATACTAGCAAGACGTGTTCGTTCCTCTGCAGCAGGTTGTAGGACACTATTGGTGATGAAAACCCAGATACTCTTGAGGATGTAGATATACTGAAGAGCATAATGAGAGGCGCCGATGAAGTTCAGCATCAACAGGAATGTCCGTATTTGTCGACTGGTGTTATCGATGATACGGATTCGTCTAGTTAAAGTCGTTGTATCGATCATAAACCACTCAATCTGTCGTAGATTTTCTTGCTGAAGAATCTGGTCCTCTTCACTTACAGAAGTGTCCATTAATGACGCACAAGCAGGAATTGTTACCAGATTTCCATCCAGATCACGGAATAAAACTTCGTCCGATGTCATAAATAATCTGCATAGAGTTTGTAGATCTGTTTCTTGTGAATCTCGGAATGCACAATTACCCAGACCATCTCCTAGATAGGCTTGATACTTCTGTACATTACGTCCGCTCTGACTTAACGCTTGAGTGACTAACCGTTTACAGTCAGGTGTATACAAATACCCATACGGAGTTGTTGAGATTTCTTTAGTTGACGAAATATTCTTTTTCGCCTTAGACCAACTCGATCCGTCAATAGAAAAGATCGCAGAATCGTCAAGAATTTCAGGGACTTCTAGAGCTTTATAGTCGGAATCAGACTCGCGCCTTCGACCCAATGTGTAGACTGTCGTATTGTCCAGAGTAGTGTAGTCTCGCTCCTTAGGTTGAAAAAGAAACATGAGATTTACAATAAAAGTCGGAAGATGTCTACCCATGTCGCTCCCACATTGTTTTAGCGCAGTCGCATCCACATCGTCAACTGTGATCGTCTTGACCATCGATGTGTGCTGAATTGAACACTCCCAGAACAAGGCGAGGTGTGTAGTCGACACGTAGCTCATTCCGACTGTACTAGACAGAAAATCCGATGTAAAATACGAAGTAGTCGCGTGGGTTACTTCAGCCGAGATCGCAGCTTCTCCATTCACATTTTTCCCCATTGTCAACTCTTGTGACTCGAGATAATATTTGAGCAACGCACTGACACCAAGAACATCAACTAACGCCACGTGATCAGCATCAAACGAAGCTGGTAACAAAGCGACAACGTCGGCTACGGAGATCCCTTTACTATACCGATCCACAATTGCATCAGCCGCTTCGTCGGTGTATCCAGAAAGCTCCAACTCCATGTAACCTTCTTGCACATTTTTCATGATCTTCCGAACAACGTTTTCGTCGTTAAAGTGGCGTAGGTAGACTTCTGACATGTTTACTACTGCGATGAGACCCAGGCTAGCATTTCCAGTGTTCGCTAGATTTTTATCTACTGGCGCTTTCGTGTTATGGTTGAAAAATCGGTCTCTTGGAAACAATTCGTAAAAATCTCGACAAAATTCATGACGAATAGCTGGAAAATAGTTGCCAAACAAGAGCTGAGCGTCTGTTTCCCACCCAGAATCTGTACACAACGGCGCTAGGACGTCAACCATGAGGTTTACTGGTTGAGATAGTACTTCAGCTGGTAAACCAGATAGTAGATCGTCTCGGCGTACGTTGGCTCGTACAAGGAAGTCCATCAATCCTAGTGTCTCTGCAGTTGAGTGATTGAGCTCTTCTTTGCTGTTTAAGTCAAAAAGTGGGATCAATTCGCGCTCAAAAGTGTCGTAATAGTGCGCTCCACTGATAACGACGCCCATTTGGTTGAGTTTTCGGGCTACAACTTCATCTCGAATTTCATCGAACGGATCTGTCACGTAGTTGCCAAGGTAATATTCCTTGAACGGGGTGATAAACGCCACGGAGCCGAGAAACAAAAAGATGGCGACGCATGCTCTGTATGATATTTGGCGGTTGAGGAGATGCATTAGTCGGTCGCGAGAATCTTGTGGAAGAGGAGCTCGAGACTGAGAGGCATCGTGGGTGTTGGATACGCTCATGATTGCTTGCTTGCTGACGTAACGCGGCTCAGCGTGCCAGTCGGAAAAGTGTAGGGAAGAAGTTTCGGTACATCGTGACTGAATAACATTGACTTATTTTCGTTTGAAAACGGTTTGAAAATTCAGTACAATGTCTGCTATTTTGGATGTCAGCTTTCCATCTTTTTCAAGGGAAAGACACTCGAGCACTTACTTCTAGGCGTGTTATATTGCCATTGTCATAAACGAAATGTGGTGCTGACTCCTACAGCGACTCTCCTGCAACTGATTCCTAAAATTTAGACGAATGCGTGCGCTTCAAGCGAGAGGTTTTAGAACCTCAATGTATAGCAGGAGCTGCGCTGAATACCTCGGACCTGATCAAATAAAAATAGGAGACGATCATTTCAGGACTTGAAGACGAGTCGATATTGCTGCCTTTCGCGATGACTTTCAAAGGAATTTAAGATTTTCTTTTACTGTATATTGTCGACGTGAAGAGTAAACTGCTCATTGTCGGAAGACGTCGTGGGAGGTCAGAGTGAGCTGCGTCGACGCTGACACCAGGAGCATCGCGAATGGCGGTTGCTGACACGAGGGAGGGGCGAGGAACGAAGCGTTCGCAGACGGAATCCAGCGTGCAGGCCAAGTCCAAGAAGATCGGCCGACCATCCCACGGAGGCTCGCAGTGCTCTCACCCTGGCTGCCTCAACAAAGCCCAAACCAAAGGCAAGTGTCGAACGCATACAAGAAATGGCAAGTGCTCCTATTCAGGGTGTGACAAGCAAGCTCAGTTCAAGGGATTGTGTGCTGGCCACGGTGGAAAAAGAGTTTGTTCTCATCCTGGATGCGACAAGAAGGTCGCGTCGAAAGGGAAGTGTGGTGACCATGGAGGAGGTAGACCGAGTTCGTATCAGAAGCGACGTAAGTCGACCAGGCCAAGAGGCAAAGGCAGTCAACAAGAGGACACCACGTTTTCCCTATTGGCAGCGACGGCAGCGGTGATGCCGCCAGTCTCGTTCGCCGATAGTCGTGGATCGATGGTTTCTCTCTTACTGGGAGAGTCATCTCGTGCAGTGGGAAATACAGCGATAATCGCTACCAGCGAAGGGAGCGCCCAACAGGAAACGTCCGGTGATATCGTGTCGGAGGTTGTGGTTTAAAGCATAGATGCATGATCCGATCTCAGAGACGTTCATTTCAAAATTAATCAATGTCACTCACTGTACCACACTCTCATTTTTCCTCATAGCGTGTCCCTGCTACTTTTTTTTTTATTTGAATTTAAGTGTATCTTCATATCTTATCATTCATTATTCATCCAGCTCCGCCAACGCTGAATATTGCGAAACTTCTTATACTCCTGGAATATATTTGTAAATAAAAACATTGATGATACATTTTAAACTTTAACGTTTACTTCTGCCTATCACGAACACACCCAAACATTTACTGCCAATGCCACGGTGTGTGCATTAATATCGTGAGTGTGGGTTTATGCATGAATCTACAAATCACGATGTACGATGGAGGCCATAGGGACTTTTGCAGTTAACTGAAAGCTCACGTCTTGTTGGTTATTTTTCTGATACATAAGGGTATGCTGACGTGACTGGAAATATTTTAAGTCATTTATTATACTACTGTAGAAATATTGGCCGTTTGTGCAACTGGGTATGCAACCGTGTTTTGATTGGTTAATACTTAAGCTGATGAAGTTGACAGTGTTGAAGTGTACTAAACGATAACTACACACGCAGTCTAGGATGTCCACCGTTCTTACGATCCGCACGGAGAGCTACTAAGATGCTTGACACTGAGAGTTGCCTACCATAGACTGAATATACCTTGTCTATCGCTGCATCGCTGGTAAAACCTGAGCGCACCAAGCTCGCGACTACATCCCAGAAAACTTTTCGTCTAGAGAAAGCGAACTTGTTCGCACCACGCTCGATTGCCGTGAAGTCTTTTGCTGCTTTCAGATCCCCGCACCCGATCTGGTATTCGTGCCAGAGCTCAAACAGATCCTTAGGTCGCTTTGAAAGTACAGCCGTAGATGCTTGGTGAGTCGACGGATTAGGTGGCGTTGCAGCAATATCCTGCGTATTAACGTTACGGCGGAACGCTGGCTGCATGGCAATTCGCTTAAGTATGGCCTGAATCTTCTGCAGCTCTCGTTGGCTCTCCCGCCGTAAACGCAGGACTTCGTTCAGCACTTCGGTTGTATGACGACGCCCAGCTCCAATCTGCGAGTAAAGTGCTGCAAACTCGCGGCGACTACCTTCACCGCCTAAAGCGCTACCAGGATACACGTTATGTGAGGGGCTTGCAGCTAAATTATTAGGTTGGTCGGGATTTCCACAACTGTCAATTACAACGAGGTTCAGCTGGGATCCGTCGCCAGTGACGCAAAATTCCTCTCGGACTACCGGGTTGAGAGCGTGCTTTCCACCCACATTTGCGAATGCGCGTAATTTTTTTTGCTGGAGCTTACTTGGAAGTAAAGCGTATTCGTACGCCTCAGATGACTCCAAAGCCACCCACAGCAACGGTAATGCCAGCGTAGCCGCAATAGACTCACCCATCACCTGCTTCACGGTCGGTGCGACCTGATCAACAAGAAATTCGGTTGTTACACCGCCAATACCGGGTCGAAGTGTATAAAAACATGGCCCTGCGGGGCCAGTTAGTACTGCAGCTGTTTTAGCATCGGGGTACGGCTGAGTGTTGTCGATGTAGATGTCGTCAACACCTTTTCTAGTGCGCCAGCGCCCTCGACGGTTTACAAAGCCCTTTGAAATGCCGCTCCGGGTCGCGTATGTGGCTGCACCTTTACGAAGACTATGCGTTCCAATATTACCTGCCTTCAGCTTCTTGAATCCATCATGTTTCACCATATTCGCCAAGTAGCGTCGCACAACGCGGTCGCCATCATTCGGATTGGTATACAGAAACTCCGAACTCGAAACATTTGCCGTGGACTCAATGTATACAGCCAGGCTGAGTAATGCGCACATTTTTGGATCCATACTACCAATAACGATCTGCTCCGGTGCATCTCGCTCCTCGTTAATATTTTTTGACCATCACATCTGCAGGAGTAAAGTAGAAGGGTACTGCGTGTTTGGCGAGAAGTTGCTAAACTGCAGTTTCATCATGTCGTCAATCCTAGCGCAAATATGCCACTGGAGTGTCAGCATGCTGCTCACCATGTAGGCTGATACATCGGATTTCCATTGTGCTCGAATGAGTTGTAGCAGGTTAAGGAACTCATTAAATTCCACAGCGCGGCGAGCTTGAGAATCCGCCCCCTCTCGGCGAACTTCAAACTTTTTCACCTTCTTTATCAGTTTGTTCACAGCGTCAGAGCGAGTGGGGTTCCCTCGCTCGGTCACAGGATCCCAGGACGTATGTACCCGCGGCATAAATGAAGAAAGTGCTTTCTTGGTGAATTCTAGAGTACTTGAGCGCCGATGGACTGGCTTCATGTCTTCGGCTGGTTCGGGGTCGCCGTACGCTTGCTTGTGCATCCAGCGGCACAAATGGTCGGGTGTTACTTGAAGAAGCTCAGCCGTCGTGAAGACACGATCGTTGCTGTACGTGACGCCGTCTTTAAACGACATGAACCTCGTGAGCTCTCGCTTGTACTGGCTCGTCATGGTGCTGGGGCTTGTGGTGTTCGTTTCTTTTTGCAACTTTTCAGCCTTGCAACTTCACTTGACGTTTGTATTGTGGGATCTCCACTAAGTACGTTTGCAACC